TTAAGAGAAATCCTATCTTAAACCGAGCATATGGCTTTTTTAAGGGTCTATTGTATAGAGGGTGACTCTTACAACCGAAAGTTGACCCGACGGATTGTTTTGGACTGGCATACACGGTCGCCCCGGTGGTCTAGTGGGTAGCCTCGCAGCCTTCTAAGGGCCAGGTCGTGGGTTGGAGACCCGACAGAGTGAGTTTTTTCTCGCTAATTAAATCCTGGTCTGCGTTGGAAGTGAAGCGCTGCAAAGCTCGTTGTTAGACTGACTCTTACGGCTCCCGAAAGTTGGCCACGGAACGATTTTTTTTTCTATTTTCGTGGCATGTCCATCGGATGCGGCGGGTTTAGGGTAAAAAAAAACGTTTGGAACATCCGGGCCGAGGGCCCAACGAAAGTTGCGGATATATTCCATTNGGAACGGATTTTTTTTTCAATTTTCGTGGCATGTTCATCTTATGGGCACGGATGCGGCGGGTTTAGGGTCAAAAAAATTCGTTTGGGACATCCGGGCCGAGTCTCCAACGATAGTTGGGCATATATTTCGTATGGGAATCGGGCCCGGATGTTGCCGACGGATTGTTCGTTTTGATCGAACACATCGAAATCGCGGGGTCACACCGCATCCATCCCGAGCGGCACCCGAGCGTGGCGTGTGTGTGCACGAGCGTTCCAGCACCCAGCACAGACTGGACCGGGTGCGCGATGGAGAACGCGAGTGCGGCCGACGACAGCGGCAGCGACGACGAACGACATGCCCACCTACTTGTTCTTCTTGCAGCAGCGAAGCGGAGACGTCGCGAGTGGCAACGCGCTGTGCTTACCGTGGCGACCTGGCGAGTTGTACTGCGGTCCTTCCCAGATGGCGACGAGTTGGAGGACGAAGGCCTTGACGGTGGCTCCCCCGTGAAGCGTACCCGCCGAGTTCTTCCACGGCCAGACTATCGCGCCTCGTTTTGGTGGCGCATGCTGGGCGAGACGGGCCTCAAGGAACCAGCGTCAAGAGAGGCCAAGCTTTTTCGGAGGCGCTTCCGCATCCCCTACCAGTTCTTCACCGAGCTCATGGAGCTGGTCAAGAAGAAGAAGTGGTTCCCCATGCGCAAGAGGATGTGGCCGGGCGCATGTGCATCCCAGTCGAGCTGAAGGTGATGTATTATTGAGACATGCCGATTCCAAAACTGGCATGAATGCATCCATCTAGACTATTATGTGCATATTTGTGTGCACACTGAGAACAAGGACAATGTATGTTCTACACACGCACGTACGTAGTTGTGAAATACAGAGTGGCGCGACTGGGTGTCGTAGGAGAGCAAGGGCAACGTAAGTATGGGCTACACATGGTCTACATCCATGAACGAAGTGTGCAGCAGTACAAAGTCGTACCGTAGACCGCAGGGCTTGTGCCAAAGATGAGAAAAACGTGGTGTACACCTATAGAAGCTGCTGCAGGTAGATAGTGGTAAATTGTTCTCGCCAAAACCCCCTCAAGCCATTTTCTACGTCTATCGCCAAGGCTGCTGCTGCAGGAAAATACTGCTGTGTTGCTCATGCCCCTTTCGGTATGCCATGTTTTTTACGTAGTCGAAAACGCAGCGCCGCGAATAACCTGACAACCGACGATCAATTCCCGCCGACCGTACACCGCGCACGACGTCTATGTGCACAGGTCAGGTCTTGTCATTCCTGCACATCTTGGGCACGGGAAACTTCTTCGAGGACATGAGCCAGGCTTCACACATGAGTGAGGGCGTTATACAGGCTAGCTTTCACAAGTTCACGAAGCTGTGCGCCCAGGAGTTAATCACGACCGCGTGTGTATGCCCACTGGCGAGGACCAGAACAAGGTGACCTACACTTCATGAAATGTCTGCCCTCTTTTTTTCTTGGTGAGACCACACTTGCTTTCCGCTGTATCCGTTGAAGACCATTCCGCCCGTATTTCCTTGCGCAACCGGTCGCCCCGGTGGTCTAGTGGTATCCTCGTAAACCGCTAGTCGCAGAAGTCGTGCTAGACCCAGAGGTCTTGACTTCGAATCCCCATGGGGTGAAAATATTTTAAAGTTTGCGGGTGAAAGGGAAATATAGCTGAAAAGCTCTCGTGAGTGCCAACTGAGACGTTAGCACAGTTTACGAGAAAAGGGACGGCTGGTCCTTCTCGCGATAGAAATAAAATTCAGCACGCAACGCAGGAGGAAGGTGGGGCATTTTGACAAAATACATGGAAGAAGTAAGCCCTGGGGTTTCCCCCCTCCGCTGTGACCCTGGATGGTTGTAGTTGTACGAAAGAAAACACTGAAAAGTGTAGTACTCTAGTTACATGCGCTGAAAGTGCAGTACACGTCTCAACACGAAGAATGGAGGAACTGTCGCCATAATAAACAGGACGAAAACAGAAACAAAAATAAACATGTTTTCTGTGTATTCTCTTGACAGGCGCCGGTCAATATTGATTTGTCCATCCTGTCTACACTCAAAAAACTTGCGTATGTATGCGTCCCGCGTGTTCGGTTAGAGCGTGTTTGATTGAAAGGCACAGTGTGCGTGATTGAAAAACACAGACCCCTAGCAAGCAATAAGAATGGTCTCAAACGATGCGCTCGCACGGTCGAGCACGTTTATCGCAATGCGTAATGTTCTCATGTTGGTTTAGCTGCGCGCAAGCTTTGCTTACAACGACGAAGTTGTTATTGCTTTGTTTGGTGCCCCACAAAACGCACGACGTCTTCCCGGATCGATATAAACATTATCAGGTCATGGAGGCGTATGATCTCCTGGGGTTCACGGGAGCGATAGGGTCAACCCTATTCTTGGGCAAGGCAGTGCACGGGGAAGGAAGGGTTCCCGAGTATCACGTGCCAGGCGATCGTTNTTGCTTACAACGACGAAGTTGTTATTGCTTTGTTTGGTGCCCCACAAAACGCACGACGTCTTCCCGGATCGATATAAACATTATCAGGTCATGGAGGCGTATGATCTCCTGGGGTTCACGGGAGCGATAGGGTCAACCCTATTCTTGGGCAAGGCAGTGCACGGGGAAGGAAGGGTTCCCGAGTATCACGTGCCAGGCGATCGTTGATGACACCGGACGTGTCCTTGCCGTTACGAAGGGCTTCGCCGGTGCCATGAACGACAAGACCATCATCCGGTACGACACGGCGGTGGCGAAGATCCGCCGTGACCCTGTCTACACGGAGAAGGTGTACACGCTCTTCGACAAGAACGGCCAACCTTTCGAGCGCAAAGGAAACTACAGCATTGTGGACAACGGGTACAACAAGGTGAGGGCGGTTTGTAAATTCTGTGATCGTCCGGCTCGTGCCGTTTCCGGTGTGGTTTGGGCATGTTTCACAATTGCGATTTGAATTGACCGTCTGCTGAATCTTTGGAGCAAGTTTGGCACCCGCAATGTGTGTGTTGACGCACAACACGTGACTTGTTCAAGATAGCACGTCAATGCTCCGGAGAAGCCTCCGTGTGCCCCCCCCTCCCTCGTATGGGTGGAGCCTTCTTCTCTTTTTTTTCAAGGGTTTACTCGGTAAAATACCGCCAGTAGGCGGTATTGGCCCTCCCATCGCGAAGAAAAGTCGGAAAAAAACAGGTTGGGTGCAAAAGTATTTTTGCTGCAAGAGGCATCAGTTTCAGCGTCGACCATCTTCCGGGAGGTGCCTCAATCGCAACAGGTCTGTCGCGGAGTAGCCCGAGCTTCGTTTGAGAAATTTTCGACGTTATTTTCCGCCGTAAACTTTTTACCATTGCGGGGAAGAAGTCGCCACGAAACGTCACATCAAAAAACAAAATATGAAAGGAACCTCAGGCTACTCCGCCACCGACCTGTTGCTACTGAGGCACCCCCGAGAACCGACGCCCCACACACACACCACCACAGGGAGATCAAACACGACCATCAAGTTTGGTGTTGAAATATCAGCGGCGCTGTCCCCAANACAGGTCTGTCGCGGAGTAGCCCGAGCTTCGTTTGAGAAATTTTCGACGTTATTTTCCGCCGTAAACTTTTTACCATTGCGGGGAAGAAGTCGCCACGAAACGTCACATCAAAAAACAAAATATGAAAGGAACCTCAGGCTACTCCGCCACCGACCTGTTGCTACTGAGGCACCCCCGAGAACCGACGCCCCACACACACACCACCACAGGGAGATCAAACACGACCATCAAGTTTGGTGTTGAAATATCAGCGGCGCTGTCCCCAAGGTGTTATTTTCCTTTCTGCTCGGGTAAACAGCGTGGCAGACCCCACCTCTGGAGTGGGACGGTTAAAGTTGCGGTATCATCACGGTTTGGTCAACCGCTGTTTTCCGGACATAGCAGCAACACCCGTCCGACGTAGGTCGCCCCGAATCGTCCTTGCGAGTGGCTACTGTAGCTGGTATTCTGATGTTTTCTGTTGTCGAAGGGGTCAAGGGTTTTGGTAAGATCACCCCCAACTGTTCCGTCGAGAACCGTGCGTGTGCCTCCTATGGTCTAAAAGGTGCCGGTGCTGGTATTTGTCTGTGAATGTTGCCTTCTCCCCCCCCCCCCTGATGGCTATCGGCGATCGGCTTTGTGAGAGCACTGCTCCGGCCACTTGAGGACACGTGGTCAATACAACGACTGAGGCATACAGAGCACAAACACCCCGTCCCCGCCGCTACGCCGCGTTGCGAGTCAGGGTTCTCTTTTGCACGTTCCCCCGTTTTTTGGGCGTTCTTGTGTTGTTCATGTTCTACCGCGCTGCAGCTAAACATGCCCGTCACGCCCGCATCCCTCGCGCGCCCTTCGCCATGCCTTGTTTTCTCATTTAATCTAGTGGGGGATTCTCATTCCCCCTACGAAATACCCTCAGATTGACATGGAGAGCAAGTGGAGCAAAGCGCTGGAGAGCGTCCGGTCGAGTGCTTCTTCGGCATCTTGAAGGGCCGCTTCAGGATCCTGAAGTTGGGAATCCTTTTCCAGGATAATAACGTCATCGACAACTTGTTTTTCACGTGCTGCACCTTACACAACATGCTGCACGCGTTCGACGGGCTGGACGAGCTCGAGACTGTCGAAGAGTGGGGAGGGAGGGCGGGTCTCCACGATGCTTGGGACAACGACCCTTTGTTGGACGAGAGTACTGTGGGGTCCACCAGCCCCACCCCTGCGGACGATGACGGCACCACCACGACTCCAGAAGCAGCCCATTTTGTGCAATGGGGGTTGGGGCTACATGCAATCCACTAGGACCAGTTTATTTTTGTCTCTCTACACCCCTGGTTGTGGTTTGTTGTCGCGATTGTTATTTTTTTCTGGTGTTATCCTTGATTGAAGCTTGTGTTTACCCTAGTTGGGTAGTTGGCCTATGACCACGAAATGGAAATGTTTCTATGGAAGGTTTTGCATCAGTTTACCGGACTGGGTTATCCTTGATTGAAGCTTGTGTTTACCCTAGTTGGGTAGTTGGCCTATGACCACGAAATGGAAATGTTTCTATGGAAGGTTTTGCATCAGTTTACCGGACTGGGTTATCCTTGATTGAAGCTTGTGTTTACCCTAGTTGGGTAGTTGGCCTATGACCACGAAATGGAAATGTTTCTATGGAAGGTTTTGCATCAGTTTACCGGACTGGGTTATCCTTGATTGAAGCTTGTGTTTACCCTAGTTGGGTAGTTGGCCTATGACCACGAAATGGAAATGTTTCTATGGAAGGTTTTGCATCAGTTTACCGGACTGGGTTATCCTTGATTGAAGCTTGTGTTTACCCTAGTTGGGTAGTTGGCCTATGACCACGAAATGGAAATGTTTCTATGGAAGGTTTTGCATCAGTTTACCGGACTGGGTTATCCTTGATTGAAGCTTGTGTTTACCCTAGTTGGGTAGTTGGCCTATGACCACGAAATGGAAATGTTTCTATGGAAGGTTTTGCATCAGTTTACCGGACTGGGTAGGTTATGCAGGCAGGGTGCAGGTTATGGTTACAACGTCTTATTTGCAGTGTGTTCTCGGTACGAGGTTGTGTTTTGTCCCCGTCCACCATTAATGTATGTGGTACGCCGTGATCTAGGTGCAGTACGCCGCTCTCCCTGTTTGTTCTTTTACGTTCAATGCTTTTTGTAACCGGATCTTTGTATACCATCTGAGTCGCCTGTTGGTCGACAGCTGAGTGAAGTGGGTGACTAGAACCGCCGCAAGTGGCATGGCATGGCAACCCCAGCGGTGAATGTAGGAGGAATAGATCAAAATCGTGAACTTTTAATGTTGTCTGGATGAGTGAAGGGGTTTGGCACCGCCTACCGAACGATATTGTTCCTACTTATTATTTCCCTCCTCCGCCTTATGTGTCTGACTGGGACTATCAATTATATTATTCATGTGTTTAGGTCTATGCCAAGACCTGGGCCGTTTTGGCTTTCTCTTCTGACTATCGAGTGCATTGTGTGTGCTCAATATCTGGGTAGCTGGTCTGTGACGACGGGAGACATCCGCGTGTTTTGGACCGCAAGATGTATGGTGCCAAGCAGAGATAGGAACGGATGGTGACTATCAAGGCGACACTGGGAACAGTATCCACGCTCGCTCCTTTCTCTATTTTTTTATGGCGGTACACGACTTTCCACCCGCAGGACGGCATGTTCAATTGTTGCAAATGTTGATCCAAGAGCGCCGAGTCGATGGCAGGCAGACCGCGCGAGGTTGCTAAATGTAGAATTCGATTTTCTGTTCACCCTGACACATGGCACTACCACAGTACTCGCCAGCCGTGCAGCCAGTACCGACTCCCTGGTTAATTGTAGTGCCCCCGTCAAAATAAAGCAGAGGCGGGGAAACGCGACAAGTTGGAGTTCGTCTTCTGTCGGGGGGGATCGACCCCTGATATGCGAGTTCGCCCCGGGGCGCAAGATTTTAGGTCCCGTCGAGTTGCGGCCCATGATGTCCTTCGTGAGCCAAGCTGGTGTATTGGTGAAGTCGTATTCCTCTACCAACCAGCGAAGGAATGCCGGCACAGCGAAGCTTTTGTAAACTTTGACTGCCTCTGCATTTCTATCAGGCTCGCTGTAGCATTTTGCTGCTCTCCTTGACGCTCATGGCAGCGTAAAACCCCCGCGAGAACTGGAACAGACTAGCATGGCCTACGTTCGGTTTGTCGCCCCAGTTGGTGCCCTTCATCCTGTTGATAACCCAATCGGAGCTAGCATTCTTCTCTAGCATAAGAGAGGCGGTTGACATGGTGGTGCCCGTGCTGTACTTACTTGGCTCTCGCTCTCTACCGTGGGTTGTGTGGTCTGTGGTGGCCGCTCGGCCGCTCTAGGCCTCAATCCAATCTCGAATTTTGACATATCGTGGGCCCCCTGGCGCTACATGCCACAGCAGGATCCTCGAAAACCAGACGAAATAATCCGTTGGACCATAATATGGCTTCCAACGGATTATCCGCCTGGAATTTCGTAACGATTTTTTTTTTCCGTCGGACCAACTTTCGGGAGCCACAAGAGTCAGTCTGTCTTATTCCGATTTGAGAGTTTTCTCTTAAACAGGGATTTCGGTTGAAGAGAAAACCTATCTTAAACCGAGCATATGGCTTTTTAAAGGGTCTGCTTTTTAAAGGGTCTATAATATAAGGCTGACTCTTACAACCGAAAGTTGGCACGACGAATATTTTGGACTGGCACACACCGGTCGCCCCGGTGGTCTAGTGGTATCCTCATAATCCGCTAGTCGCAGAGGTCGTCCGATTCCCCACGGGGTGAAAAATTTACGAAATGTGCGGGTGAAAGCGAAATATAGCTGACAAGCTCTCGTGAGTACCAAACTTCGACGTAAGCACCGTTGACGAGGGAAAGGGACGGCTGGACCCTTCTCGCGATAATTAATAATGAAATTCAGCACGCACCGCAGGAGGAAGGTGGGGCATGAAAAGAAATATACAGAAGAAAAAGCCCTGGTGTTTACCCCCTCCTGTGTGACCCTGGATTGTTGAAGTTGTACGAAAAAATGCACTGACAAGTGTAGTACGCTACATACGCTGAAAAGTGTAGGACACGTCTCACCACGAAAAATGGGGGGACTGTCGCCATAATAATAGGACGAAAACACACACACACACNACAGACCTCTCACCACATCACCACAGAGTTCTCCCTCCATGATGGTCGGATCGTCACCAAACCTTGAAGGCTGTACGCACCACACCTGTAGGCGTCTTTGAAGCTAGTGGTGTCTGCCGTGGGGTCTGTGTGTGCTGAGAAATGTCCATCCATATGAGCTAAAGCTATACGACAAATAGGCCAAACTATCGTATAGAATCCTCGACGGATTCTCCACACGGATTCTTACTTTAGCTCATATGGATGGACATTTCTCAGCACACACAGACCCCACGGCAGACACCACTAGCTTCAAAGACGCCTACAGGTGTGGTGCGTACAGCCTTCAAGGTTTGGTGACGATCCGACCATCATGGAGGGAGAACTCTGTGGTGATGTGGTGAGAGGTCTGTGTCTTGGTCGAATCCGTGGCAAATCCGGGGGGTGGGGGTATGCCAGTCCAAAAAAATCCGTCGGGCCAACTTTCGGTCACCATATGAGTCAGCCTATAAATACCTGATCGAAGTGATGAAAAATATTCATTTATTTGTTTTTTTCCACACTACATGTTCGTGGGTTTAGACCCTCACCCGGCGTGAGTCCTCCTTATGGTTGTGTACGAAGCACAACAGAACAAAGTGGCAGTAGCAAACAGCAGCAGTAGCAAAGAGTGTGTGTCATTCCGTGGTCTTCAAGGTGTACACAGCAGTGTATTCCGGCATGGATGGGTGTTTTGTAAAGAACAGTTGGGGGGGGGGGTATACTCTTGTAATGTTTTGCATGCCTTACTTAGTAGTTAGGCCATTGACCGTGCGTCCTCGAGGGGATGGAGCATTGTTCCCACAGGAGGACCGATCACCGATGGCCAATCGTTCCTTTCTACTTTATTTGCCAAAGGTGTCTCGAAAATGCTTTCCCTGCAACATTAGCATACTATACGTAGTCCATCTATCCTATCGATACGACTTTCCGCCCTGTCAACCCACTTGCTATGCCTGCGCCAGTACAGCTACCGCCTTCTCCCGGCCATACCATGCCTCAAACATCTCCCTGTAATATAACCCCCTTCCTTCTGATTTTCCTAGCTCAACCATGTACACTTGCGTCCTTTCCTCTCATTCTTGCACAACGGACATTCCGCAACTACATGAAGCCGGTCTTCGCACTCGGAGCCGCAATGATAAATATTTCAACTCACTTGTCGTCTTCATCGTCTACCTTCCTAAATCTTCGTCTACTTCTCGAAGGCCAAATGTCCCCGGTCCTGAATTGGACCTTCAGCTTTGTCCTTCACACCATATCCATGCAGCAGGTACTCCTTAACCTTTCCTTCTTTCAACACTCCGTACACATCTAGTCTAGACCTTCCTTATCCTTGGTTTCTTTGGTTAGATTATTTTGTTCCTCTCTCTCGGCAAGAGCAACACAGCAGCGAGGGGGCCGCGGGCATCCCTGGGGGCTGTTCGTTTCGCTAAAATAGCTATAATCACATGTACAACAGTGATGGTGTGGGGGCTACGGCATAAATAACTGGACTACAGGGGGGCGGGGTGGGGGGGGGGGGGGGGGGGGGGGGGGGGCAGGTTCGGTTTTAGAGAATCGGGGTTCGATTTAAGAGAGGGGTGTGTCTAGCTGTTTTGACTGCTCTTAAACCGGCAATTCTCTTGAAGTGAGCTCTCTTAAACCGAAGCCCCCACTGTATCCGACATCCCGCCTGCGGCGCAATAAAAAGTAATGTCGATAAAACTCGTTGCTTTTCGCTGCAAAGAAGACGTTGCGTAAATAGTACTTTCAAGCGCGAGCGTTGGCAGAGGAAAGGACAGTGCGCAGGTTTGATGTTTTGCCCTGGTTTCCCACCGTCAGAATAGCGGTAAAGAACCACACCACTCGAAGTGGAGCTCTGCAATTTCATTGCGTATAACTAGGTAACTGCCGTCGTATCCCCCATTGACAGTTTGTGGTCTCCATCGACATCATAACAGTAGAACAACAAACAGCCGTAGACTGCCGTGTGGTAGGCTGAATCGCTAGGGCTGCCCGCTCATCCGAGAGTTATTGTCCCCCATTCACGACAACAATAATCGCCATCGGTATGAAATCAACACCACTACAGATGGCGGCCGCACTTAAGAACCGCTTATATTGGCCAAGGCTCGATGCTTATTGACTGCCTCGAATTCAGCACCTGTCCTTATTTTCAAAGTTCTTATTTCGAGCAGGCATATCCGTATGATACACGGGGTTCTTGTTCTTATTTCTACGCCGAGGGCGCCATTCGGAGGGCTTTTTTTTTTTCTGGGTGGATTCAGCCTGACACTTGAGAGCAGCGTGTTCATGAAGCAGAGTATATTAATTGAAGGGAAATGGACAAAAGTGGGTATACCCCCACCATTCTCGGACAAAAGTGGGTCCTCGAAAATCCACCGCGCGCTCACTCCCAAGGCAACCCCCAAACGACTCAACACCTCATTCTGACACCTGGGCGACACAGCCAGGGACCATACACAGCACGGGCGTCGATTTTTTCCCACTTTCAGGCACACCGTCGGCTGTAATACCGCCGAGGCGCGCAAGGCCTCACCAGAGTGCCCATTTATGTCCGACATCGCGGTGGGTATACCCAGCGGCGTCAACTAATTTTTTCATGTACACACCTATATCTATATTTTGATCCACTTTGGTCCAAATTGTACCCACTTGTGTCCACTTACTGTACGGACGGCGGAAATCGAGCGGAAGTCGACCTCCACGTCACCGCACGGCACAACAGCGAATAGCCTCGGAACGTCTCAGAACCCCCCAACACCGTACCCATGGCATCTTTCCTATCCATGGCTGCCGACTGCGGACCGACCACGGAGGAATATGTCCGAAACATGCTAGGCCCCTTCGGTGTCGGCACGGGAGGACACCAGGCACGGGAAGATGCCCGCGGCAAGCCCAGCAAGCAGCGCACTAGCGACAAATGCCACAAAACCATGCGTTACACGCAACGGACAACAGAACTAACGGGTCGCGCATCAGGAACAAGAACACGCGCATACCGCAGCAACACACACACACACACGCCACACACACAAAAGACACCAACCACCACGACGAGTGCACACCGCCTTACTATGGCAGCAGCAGCATGTCGAGGCAGTTTGCCACGTAACCATATGTTATTAAGGTGTTCATATGCACTACATCAATCTATGGTGTATATGAAGCGAAACTCCGGCTCGATATCCCCTAAAAACCTAACGGATCAAGAGACCAAAAATGATACCGTTCGCTACGCTGCGTTCGTTCGCTGCTACTTCATGGATGGTGGGTTATGGAAGAAATAGGTCGCACATTGCGTACTCCGGAATAATCATAACAGTTGGCATACACATCGTTTCATACTTTGCAGGCATGCGAAGTACTTCGAAGCACGACGAGTTCAGGGGTACAGCAGGAGGAATCAAATGTGGTCCTATTCTGCAGGCCGCATATTCCCATATTGGCATACCACACTACTTCACGCGAATGAATGAACATGCAGCCTCAGGTGCATAGTGATTGTCCCTCCAAGAGACGACCTGATTCTGCCGCTAAGCGTTGGGGGTTGGACGGGGGGGGGGGGGGGGGGGGG